GCGTCTCTCCTTCAAGCGATGCTGTACGTTAATTTTAAACATGTATACGATTGAACCAAGCGGCGGCGGAGTTTTTTTTCGTACCCCGGTGAAGAAGCAAAAATACTCGCAGTGTCCTCCATATACATTATCAACAGGCTACCAAAAGTTCTTGAAATTACAATACTGTCGCCAATAGCGAAAGCGGGGCGAGGTACAGCGCAAGCGTTCAAGTATCGAAAGGGGGGTGGAATGGAATCCCATCTGTTTTCGTTATTATTTCCATGTTTCTGTATTTTTCTATACTTTATCTGTCTAACATTTTTTCTGATTAACGCAAATACTACATGATTTAATTTACAACATTTTAAATAACAACAAAAATTTTTACAAACAATTAATAACTTATATTTTTTATATAATTTTTGATTTAAATCAGGGGTTGTTAGGGTTAGGGTTAGGGTTAGGGTTAGAGTTAGGGTTAGGGTTAGGATTAGGGCTAGGGTTAGGGTGCACGCGCATGCGCACATGGAGTATTTGCTCTTACGCGTACGGAAAAAAAACTCGCCAACCGGCGTGCTGCCTGGTAGCATCTGATAAAAGCTAGGAGAAGGCTATGATAACTCTGCGCATGCTGCATGGTACGATCTTAATAGAAGGCCATAAGAAGTATGCTAAAGTTATGCCAATTGCGCCAATATCCTGTTAAATAATATCCTGACATAAAAATGGGATTTGGGGGCACGTCAAAGCGGTTGAAAGGCATGTTTTTATGTTACGTTATATTCCCCCTTATAAACGTATATACTCAAATTTCTGTACCGCGCGAACGATCTCTTCATATACTTATGGGAAACTATAAGGATGTAGTTCATATGCAGGGCATGTGAAAATATGTATTGCCATTACGTAATGTTTTGCATATCGTGTAGTACAGACAGGCACACAGCATTGAAAGCAACAATTCTGCCAATTCACTGTGTAGTATCGTGGCGCTGTTTTTATGAAAGAAGTCCTATAGAACTATAATATCTGGTAAAAATAAATGAAAGGACATCAACCAAAGTTATTCCGTTGTCATGTCCTGCTTACGGGCTAACAAGACATGTCTTCCTCGGTGACTGTCAGAAGATTTATAGTTGATATGTTTTATAATTATAATGTAAGGATCTTGCCCAGTATCTTGCGCGTACGTAGTACGTTGTACGTGAGTACGCAACACTACGCAGGACCATAGTGGCCTCCCAAAATGTGTTACTGCAAAAAAATGTAGGATCACCCAGTGATAATATCAAGAGTGGCGGTTATGGTGCGTGCCGCAGTCACACATGGCTAACGCCGCGATCGCGAAGCCGATGCGGGGGGTCTGGAGGTGCTCCCCCCGAAAATTTTGAAATTTATAGCCTGGAAATGGCATTTCCTGCATTTTCAGGCCATGTTAAAAGCAACCAATTCTGACCATTTTAAAAGGTCAATTTGTAAATTTCAAAGAGGAATGTGGCTAAAGCTGATGTTTTGACTAAAGTATCTAAAATATATATTATGAGTATGATAACTAATAAAACATTGTTTACAAAATTCTATATAGGCCTACTATCAGTACATAATTATTATGAAAAATAATATAGTTTTTAATATTTCCGTTCCAGTGCATGTGTGTGTTGTGTGTGTGTGCGTGTGTGTGCGTGCGTGCATACTCCCAATACGGCCTTGACTCTGTAACGTTTGGCCCGCTATTTCCCTTACACCCCTGGACTAATTTCCGCTCTCCGTTACCATCTCTCTCGGGCCCTGTCGAGCTGATGCTCGTACTGACGCATATGAGAGGGTGCTCGGTCACCCAGCGCTCAACCAATTTACGACCACAATGACAAAGTCCTTCTGTGAGGGTGACCGGACTGCGGAACGCGCGGGCTGCACTGACAGCTTGTCTCTCACATCAGCTGCGTTACGGTCATTATTGATCTGATTCAGCTGAGTCTCCCACCACACGTTGCCAGGTCCATGGTAGGTTGTACAGAGGACGGAGCGTGTGGCGCTGTTCTGTACCGCAACGAGCGGCATCCTGTTCGCGTTCTGACAATCGCACATAGCTGTTTACTCGTATTCAGGAGGCTCCCTAATTGGCGCCAAATGTTACCGGTACTTTAAATGTGTCTTATCACGATATATCAGTACAAATACCCAGTACCCTCGGGGTTCAGGCCCGTGATCTTGGCTTGTCGAACGCTCACGCAAAGTATTTCCAATAACAGCAACACTCCAATGCAGCTTAAAAACTTATATATTGCTTTCCCAACACACATTGATGTTGCAAACACGACTTTCTCTCCTTTTCCCGCGTCACTCCTCCCTCACAACACGCACGCCAGCGTCCATCTATCGTCGAATAAAAACTATGCAACGGAACACCTCTAGCATACAAATCTATACTAACCGCTAC